AAACACACGTATATATATGCACATCCATACACTCAACTACTCCACACATCCACTACCTTTTCTATACTATCACATATCTAGGTGACGCTACACATCTCCCTGCTTTCTCTTCACGTATATCTGGCAAGCACCTTCAGCGGTGACCCTGGGGTTACTGGTCTGAGGCGATCGTCTTTACTGCGGGAACAGATGCGGGGTTCGTTTGACTCCATACAGGCCTACTTCAACGGCAAGATCATCCGAAAGGTGTGCCCAACTCATCTCCTTGTGCGTGCTGGGCTGGTTGTGTTTAGAGAGTTTAGGGTTGATTGTGTTTAGGGTTTTAGGTATACGACAATGAGTCGCACTTGTTGTGGGTGTATAGTGCATGATCTTTCACATGGGCTGAAACTATGCGCGGAGCATGACGTTGGTTAAGTTGTTTCGAGCTACGTTGCTCTATGGTACTGTGTTTAAGGGCGTCACGTGTTCTATCTGATTGGTATGTATGTGCGATATTGCGTATGATAATAAACTGAGATCTGTTTACACACACATATATATGTATATGCACACACACACATACATGCCTATGTATTCATGTACACATCTGTATCTTCATAACTCCAGAGCGAGTTGCAACCCAACAAGCCCCACATGTTTGGGTTCCATCCGCACGGTGTGACGGCAACGTCTGTGTCATGGGTGTCGCACACAAGTGATTGGAAGGAGCTCTTTCCAGGCATCACCGTCAATCCCGCCACGGCGTCGGTTCTGCATGTGCTGCCGCTTCTCCGAGACTTTCTCCAAGGTACATTGTTGGTTGTATAGGTTTTAGGGTTTAGGGTTTAGGGTTATGAAAGAGACTTTCTGCAAGTTAAGTTGTTGGTTGTATATATAGTTACATTGTACGTGTGCTGATACACATAATCATATACGTTCATGGCTGGTTTCAGAGCCTTTCTCTACGATACGTTGTGAAAATATGTATGATTGTAAGTACACTTACGTTCATATATCGTGTTGCAAGCTTTGTCTGCACCCACAGACTGTCGTCTATCCTGCAACCCCCTCTGCACTGTATATGCTGCGTCTTCTCTATTGCAAAATGTAGTATAGTGTCAAGTATTGATCTGAAAAGTACACTGGTAGTGAACTATCGATGTAGTACTATAATTGGCGCGGCTGTTGGAGATTTAGTATTTGTAAGTGTACGAGTGCCAGTGCAGCCTAACAATCATTCATGTATGGTATAGGACGTGTATGTACGCTATAGTATGCCAATGCATATACACCATATGTAACCTCGTTATTATTCTTACCACGCGTCACTACTGACTGTGAGTTTCCACTGTCAAGTCAGACACACATCCGCATACCACACGTCGCATGTGATATGGGCTGTGCGTGAGATACACTCACAACAGCGATGTACTTCAACCGTTACACGTTGCATAGTTAACAGTGTGTGTGCATGTACACACCACTCCCATCTTTCACATGCTTTATACTTAAGTACAGATGATCCCCTCTCTTCGTATATAGCGATCGTATGCTTTAAATTCAATTTTACTTAAAATACAGATAATCATTAAATACTTAAATCTTATGTTCTGCTTTATACTTACGTACAGATAGTCCCTCTCTTTGTCTATGCACTGTTCTTTTCTTCTTTATACTTACCTACAAATAAATCCTCTGCTTTTATATACACTGAATCTAATTTTAACCTTTTTTAATTGTTTTCATGTATTGATGGTTTCTTCCTTCGTTCCTGGTCCCGCTATTGCGTCAGTGATGGGATTCCGGGACGTCACGCGGACGTCTCTCTGCAACGCACTCGATATGGATGAGAGCATTCTGCTTGTACCAGGTGTGACAATCTGTGCGTATTTTTTTGGGTTTAGGTTTTTAGTTTTTAGGTTTATTTGTTTGTATGGCCTATTTTCCTTCGGCTTAACGAGCATATGCCAAGTGAGATTTGGCTTTTGTGCGGATTGATTGGAGTTTAGTTACCTTTTGCTTCTATCAGGTGCAGCGTGTTTTCCAGTCCGGATTCGTCCTTGCTTGTGTTGTTTGTCGAGTGTAAGGTTTAGGGTTTGGGGCGTTGTAGTAGGTATGCATGTTGTATTACGAATAGGTATGTATCGCAACGCGCATACCGGGGGCGTTCGTTTAGCCGACATGCCCGTACAGTTGTGTGATGTAGTGGCGCATAGACACGCTGTTACAGTTGAACAGCAACTATTGCACCAGTCAGGCCTGGGGATGAATTGGTATCCGGTGCGGATGAAAGATTCACGTAGTATTTTTCTATGAAAAATTCACATAGCACGTTTTCTATGAAAGATCACAAAGTACGTTTTCTATGAAAGGTTCATATTATACATTTTCTTAATCGCAGCAGTATTTTTTTCGAATTTTCCCGAATTTTGCGTCTCGAAACGTACACTTTGGAACTCTTTCCAACCCGATAACACGTCGCATTGAGGCTCTGTCCCATTCTGCTCTGTCCCATTTGGCTCTGTCCCATTTAGTAGGCCCCGAGACACACCACTCACTACACAAACACTCACTTGACTATGGTAGGAGGGCAGGCTGAGATGGTGTACTCGACGTCCAGGCGGAAAGAATTGACCATCTACACAAAACACAAGGGCTTTATACGACTTGCGGTGACTAAGGGGGTGCCGCTTGTGCCTGTGCTCAGGTAGGTGCGGGTTTACTTTGGTAGTGAGTATCGGTGCATAGGTGCTTGAATACAGTTTGTCTGCTGCGTTGTGATTTTGTTCAACGT